CAAATTTTTTTGCTTTTCAAGATTCTAAAGTGCAGTTGTAAGTTTGTCAAGCATGATTTTTTTCAGATATTAATTAGAATAGCTAAAAAAACTTGCTAATTAAGCAATATTTCAAGTACGGTTTTTCCTTAAGGATTAAAATATGAAATTATTACTAATTTTCGGTTTACTTTCAAACTGAATAATTATTTCTAAATAGTACGTGCTTTCTTAATTTTCACCTGTCAAGTCAGCGAATAGCTTGTCAGTTTTGAAATTTCAGCAATTTGTATATGACTTCAAAGATTTTTAACGATTTGAAATCAAAAGCTAAAGTGACAGCTTTGCAGCAAATGCTCTCAGCAGTTGAAGCAAAATATTTGATTAAGTCTTTATCTAAATTTTGACTACTGTATTTTAATAACACCGTTAATCACTTCTTCTCAAGCTGTTTTTGACAATTTTATAGTTTACGAATTGCAACCACGGCAGTTGCAGATATGTGAACAATAAATGTGTAAAAAAAAGCTAGTTTAGATATGGGAAGATTTTAATTTCTCTTTGGTTATTATTTCTTTAAAATTTTATTTTGTTTATTGTGGCATTCCTTTTTTTCAGTTCAGTAAGATAACAAATGTTTAGTAAGATTTTATGAATAACGTAGTAGATGTTTTAGTCTGAAATATCAAATAATGATTTTAAAAATTATCGAGACTTTCCTGCAGCTGCTCAGTTACTGTTAGTCTTTGTTCAGAAAAATCTACAAAACTGTGGTTTGAAGTGAGATTATGGTAATGAGATTTCAGTTGTAGAATAGAATAATGCCGTGAAAAGTTGAAATCTTGAGTTTATTGCATGAAATTTATGATTGAGGACTGTAGCATACAATGTACCTATGCATATAAGTCTAACCCATATGGATTTCTATTTTCTGCAAGCAGTAAAAAATTTAAATATGATGACTTAAGGATTTAATTTAATTATGATAAAAGCGCTTATCAAATATAGTACTTTAGATTAATTATAAAATCGAGGTATTTAAAATGCTAAATGAAGTAAGTTATACTTAAGTATGCTTTTATAATTTATTTTTGCCTGAAGTAGAATATTACTGATTATGCAAATGTTTAGGTGCTATGCGAAAAGTTTTAAAATTTGACAACAAAAATGTATGAAATTTTGTTGGGCAAAAGACATGAGAAATTCAGAAAATACAACTGATCAAAGTCAAAAAGAATCAACTGTTTCACTAACTTATAAAATAACTTCCTGCAACTAGATTACTGAAAATAACAGGTATGCAGATCGTTGAAAGATAGTATTCGGCAGTCATTGACTTCATACTAAATTTTGAGAAGTGTCTGCGCTGTTAAGTTTCACAATTTGTTAAAACTTACTTTTCATGATTCAAATTTAATTTATCATTTAGTTGACGGTTGAGTTGGAGAAAGTAAAAATTTTGATAGAGTATAATTTTTATTAAGAACTATTAAAATTAATAAGTTGGGCATGAAATATTGCTTAAAATAAAAGGAATAAAAAAATATGTGACTCCTAAGTGAAGAAAAGTTTTATTTTGTAAGTGAGTGAAATGCATTGCAATGAGGATGATGATTTCACGTCCCTAATATTCATTCATATCAGATCAGTCAAGTTGACACATTCCTAGTGAGGCAGTTACCATTATCACCTTTGATAGTAATTTAAAGGAAAGTAGATAGGTAGACACGCCCCAATTATACTTTATACTTTTACAAAATTAAAGAATCAGTATCAAGCTTTTATCAATCAAAAATAGAGATAATTTGTCATAAATTTTTAACTCTGTACTGATATCATCTCAGAAAATAAGAGTTACATGCAGTAATACGCAGTAGTAATTAAAATAAAAATATATGTGGCTCAATCTAAGCAAATGTAGTTACTGCGTGCTAATTGTATGCGTTTTTCATTGCGAGAATTGTACTGAAAAAAAATGAGCAATAGAATGTGTTTATTTATTTATTCATTTATGCACAGGAGAAACTAGAAATTAAAACTAACTACACGTAAAATAATGAATAATGAGTAGGCACGTCAAATAAATTGATAATGAAATAAAAGTAAAAAAAATATTACTAGATGCAATGTAAATTGAAAATTGCTAACATTATAATAATATGCCATTGATCGTTTATTACAAGGTTTAATTTGATCGGAGGGCAGTTTTAGTTAGTTCATTTGTTGGGGCGGAGAAGAGCAAGAAAGAAGTGGCGATAACGACGGGTAGAACCCATTCGAGCAGTACTGATATATTGCTATATTACCCATTCCTTAACCTAATATGAATTTGAACTTTTTCTCCCATGCAATCAACATACATCTACACATTTTACTCCTTTAATTAACTTACTTACTTAATTACTTACTTACTTACTAATCAACCAACAAAGTAACCAACTAACTAACTAATTATCTATCTGTCTATTTATTTATCTGGTTTCTTTTCTGCTCTACCCTTTTTCAATTCCATGCATCCTTACAAGATAATTTTGTCGCTGTTTGTCGTTGATTAATTTATGTCCATTCGCAAATGCACAAAATATTTGATATCAGTTCGAAGTATTCACGCATACTTCTATCATTTTCATCAATTAATTTAATTTACTTTGCTGCGATTACTTTTGTTCAAAAAATTTGAAACTGCTTAAATGTACAATCGTTCAACAGTTACTGTCGAAGAAGCTGTCCGGAAATTGAATAAATTCGGTAGGCATACATTAATTCTTCTGGCATTATGTCAACATTTTTTCATTTCTTATTTCAAAACAAGCAAATTTTGAGATGCAGCTGTTAATCGTTGATTATCACTTCTGATATGAATATTTTATGGTAGTTAACAGAACATTCAGAAATGCCTGTTTATATTTTTCAAAATCAAGTTTTCATAGTCTTAACAACTTCCTCATATATTATTTGTGTTAGGGACCTCTTAAGGCACATTCACAATATGCTGCTTCCGCAATTCTGCAGAGAAAATGATTTTTGTCAGAAAAGAAAGAAATAAACACTTACTATATTCTATGAGTTTAAGAATGATTTGTCTTCAAATTTATTGCTTTTTTTATAATTTTAGGATTAACTAATTTCTTTTTGGGTAGCTATTGTCATTTTCTATAGACATTTCATGATATCAGCAATTTTTACTCTGCAATGCTACGACTTACTCATGCATGTGCTATTTTAGGTCTATTCGCATCACCATAGTATTGTTTTATTTAACTTTGAGTAGTATGCACTGTATTTGCCACTATTGCAAGATAGAAAAGCTGCAGCACTTCTTAATTACGAGTTTGCATTAACTAAAAAGATTTAATGCTGTCTATTGATAGCAGTCATTGTAAGGCCTTTCAACTTAAACAGCTTGACTCTTTACCAAACAACTTTTTAAAAAATTGAAATGAATCTTGCAGATAATAATCATTATTTCAAACGATTTAACAATATTACCAAGTTTATCAATGGCATTGATTTTATTCACTGTTAAGCAGTAATATTTACATGACAAAAAATTGTCTTTAAACGATTCAATATAGATAAGAAGTTAACTGCATACCTTGAAAAAGTAAGTAGTGATTAGATACCGTAGTTTAAATCTTAAGAAAGGTATGGATGAGAGTAATGACAGATGATCATGTTCTTTTGGGCTCATTAATCACTAACACCACCAATCTCATTGCTCATTTATCAAATTGCGAGCGGGTGTGTGGAGGGAACGAAAAGAGCTGCAAAAATTGTTGACAGCATCGTATCTTTTCTAAATTCCTTTTTCTTATTTGTTCTAGTGTTTTAGTAGGCAGTAATTAATTATTGTTATTATCAAAATCAACTGTCATCTTTTCTTGTATTCCTTATTTTTGTCTGTCCATACATACGCATTTTCTCTCTGCTTCACCTATCGTATCACACTAATTTTTATATCATTAATTTAACTTTTTTATATCATTAATTTAAATTTGAATAATCAATTATTTTGTAGCATTTTATAATCTATTGCAACATCTAAGTTTGGTTGATTATTAGAAAAAAATTATGAGAAACATTTTTGTTGAATTGCTTGTACTAGAAAATGATATCAAATTATACATGATATTAATACAATGACGATATAACAATTAATCTTAATTTCTTTCTAATACATTATTTAAATTTTGCATTCATTATATGTGATTGAAACTAAGTTTGAATCCGATTATAACACTATGGATCAGTCTCACTTTATTATAAAATCATTTTAATTACCTAATCCTAAAAGGGATACTGAAAGATGATGAATTTTAAAAGCACTGGATCTTTAATTTCTTCTGTATTGTAGGAATGACTTTTTTAATTTCAGCATTTATAAGGTTGAGAGCTTGCTTCATATTAGCAGTAATTTCATTGTCTTTAACTATATAGCTAGTGAAAAAAAACCAGCAGTTTTTGCAGTAAACATTATGCAAATAATTTTGAATTTTGTTTCCTAAAACTGATTGTGATATTGAATTGGCTTTTATAGATGAGGATCAGAAACCACCTAATGATCCAGATGAAGATGCTGCTGCAAGAATGCGGTTAAAACGTAAATTGCAACGAAATCGTACATCCTTTAGTCAGGAACAGATCGAAGCCTTAGAAAAAGGTTGATCTTCCTTATTCAACGCATTGTAATTTGAAATTATGAAAACAATTACTTCAAAAAATAAAATAAATTTCTTTCAAGCAGCTACGGAAAAAAGTATTTTGCATTAAGCGTCTCAGTTGCTTGTTCACATTCCAAAAATTTTTTTTCTTGTTTTGCAAAAGTTTTATCAGCGCTAACTGCTATTGCAACTTTCATCTTTTATGAGTGATGTTTTAGAATTTGAAAGAACACATTATCCAGACGTTTTTGCTCGTGAAAGATTAGCTACAAAAATTGGTTTACCTGAAGCACGCATACAAGTATGACCATTTTGCCTCTAATGAACTTAATCATCAATTCAGATTTTTATTTGCTTACAAAAAAAAGCTATAAAAATTATGAATAACATGTTGTCATTCAAAATTTGATTGCAAGTAATCTTTCTGAAATTCATTTTATTATCGAAAAATAAAGCAACTAATTTCTTAAAACTGTCTCTAATTATTACACGTTAATATTATAAGAAAGATTAATTGTAATATAAATATATAGTAATTGTTACCAAAAAAATAAAAAGGTTCAGATATATGGACAATTTTTATTGACATTTTTCTCATTTTATGCAGTAAATTAAGTGTACTCATAATTATCAGCAATATATTTTCGCATTTAATTTACGACATCTTATTTGCTTTGATACGACAAGAAAATATTTCTCAATTAAGATCACAAGATTGTAATCAATTTTTGAATTATTCACCAACATTTCAGTACTGTAAGGCGCCTCACCATCTGCTACGTTTGAATAGTTTTGTCTTTTGTATCAAAACTAATGATGTCTAGCGCATAATTTTGATTTTTTTCTCATAAAACGCTCCAAAAAATGATCTAATTAAGTAATAACTACAGTAATGATGCTTGTGCTCATATAGGAATGATATATGGCATAACTAGAAAAACAAACTTTTCTTGTATTAAAATGTTAGCACAAAAAGTTTCCATTGTAAGATTGTGTGTAATGATATATTGTTAACTGCAGAAAATTCATGATATAATCTGTTCAGTAGAATAAACTCGTACGAGCAAAAGGATGATCAAAAATATTTTAATAATACCAATAGTTTTTCAAGAGTGAACTTTGTAGTAATCAACTAAAGTATCTTCTATTTCATTACCAGAAAGAATTATAAATATGCAAAAAATGATGTAACAAAAGTAAGTATCCACGTCTAATTTGCAGCATTTTTCCTAATAATAATTTGGAATTTTTTGTATGCAAGCAGTAACATTTTAGTTATTTCAATTGTTCATTTGTTGGCAGTAAGAGTCAGCATGAATTTTACTAATAATATGAAACTTGCAAGTCAATATTTAAAAATTTTAGCCTTATAACGGTTTTAAATGAGGAAAGGTTTGGTAGAATCTTAATTACTTATTCAAACCAAAATTATGCAAAGAAAATACTTTATAAGATTCACAATATTGAGAAATAAGTGAGGTTTGTTAACTGCAGAAAATTCAAAATCAAACAGATCATTACTAGAAAAAATATTATGGCTCAGTTGTGTCTAACATTAACTAATAACTTATTAGAGATGCATTTTTGATTTAAATCTACCTCCGCCAGCAGTGATGATGCTTACATTTCAAATGATATGATATGTTATCGTCTTTTATCGAGAAAAGCCCCTTCTTATACTTTAATGCAGAAATGCACAGCTTACAGGTTTGGTTTTCAAATAGACGAGCTAAATGGCGTCGGGAAGAGAAATTAAGAAATCAGAAACGGCCACCAGGTATTGATACTGCAATGACTACAGCAAATTCTAGCGTTGCTGCTAACAGTTCTGCCGATAATTCCGGCTCAACGCAAGGTCAGTTACCGTAATCCTTTAATTGCAAAATTATATTGGTTTAAATAGAAAAATAATTTATGAAGGAGTTCGGGAATCAACGCTTTAGCACTTTATCTTAATATCTATAAATACTAAATCTACTTCAATCATTTCTTTCTCCAAGAAAATAACTTTTTTCTTCCTTTTTTTGCTTCTTAATGCCCTTGAAGCAATTTTTTTAATAGGCGCCATATTATAGTAAAATGACTTGAAAAATACCAAATTTAATGAACTTTAGTGCAAAATGCATAATTCATGGCATTATTTTGGGAAATATTAGCAAAAAAAGATTTAATCTTAAGTTTGAATTTAATCTTTTTTTTAAGACAAAAAAAACAAAAGGTATGGAAAGTAGAAGCAGTTAACAAGTTAAGGCACTTTTTTTTTCAGCAAGCTTACTGAATCCGGGAAGCACGGGTACACCTCTGGGAAGTAGTCCAACTGCTACACCAGCAAGGTTTAATAATCCGGTTGTTAACAACACTTTTGCTTCACCCAGCACTCAGATGTATCCTTTACCGCAGCCAACGATGGATCCTTATAGGTAAATGCAGCAATAATTTTTTATTGCATTGGTTTAGATTAAAAGATTATGAACTTAAGATTAAATTCAAAAATGAATCGAAATAAGATGTAGAACGCTTGCACGATGTTATATTAAAGTTTCAGCTTTGCGAATGCAGGATTGGGGATGGGCGCTCCTCAGCATCCATCTGATTTTAGTTCATATCATATGTTTTCTAGCGCTGGAAGGTCACCCTATGATGCTTTTCATGTAAGTTTTTTTTAACTTGAATATCTTGCATCAAATATGAGTGTTACTGAAACTGTAAATGCTTGCATGCATTATCAAATTATTTCCTCCAACATTATCCATAAATTCTTAATTATTTTTCTTCACAAACACTGATTCATTACGTTGATTAATTCTGATTCACTGAATAAAATAATTTATATTGCTAAAACTTTCAGCTATTGTTGTTACTATTAAACAAATATAAATTATAATAAATGCATTTGCAAATATATTACAGCCATATGCCCGAACGGTACAGCCTGGAGCACCACCAACATTTGCTTCCACAATGAGCCATTCTTCCATCTCCAATGTTGGTGGTAAGTTTTTAGCGCTTCCTAACTCAACCTTCTTTGTTAAAAATGCTGCGCTTACTGATAAATACTACTCGTGCAAAGAGAAATAAAAAGTTCAAGCATTAGTTTATCGGTAAAAACATAAAAGCATCAAACTCATTGCAGTAAGTAAAGAATCTGCATACTGCTAGCTGTAATTTTAATTTAGTTGTGATTTCTTCGAAGGTGAATGAAAATGTGCTGTAAATGCAACAATTTATTAATTAAGAATCAAAATTTATGCAAGATCTTAATATTTATAGCTTTTATAAATAAGTAGCATATCAACAGTTTATTTAGGTGAATCTAAGCTTTAATTTTTTACTAGCTTTTACACTTATAGTGTAAATTGAAAGTTTAGAGATAGTATATTTTTCAAGTATGTTACAGAGTATGCTCTACTTAATAAAGATTTTTTCTTAAAAATTAGAATCACTTAAATTTCTGAATTTTGTATGCAAAATATTAAATTTTTTGATTGATTACATCAAAACAAAATTTGAACAATAGATAAGTTTGATAAAAATCAAAATTACTTTAAAAAAATTCAAGTATTTTGAGTGGAAAGTCCCAGTTTTGAACTGCTTTTTTTAATATGAAAAACTTGATTGAGAATATAAATAAAATCACTATGAAAAGAATCACTATCTAAACTTGCGAAAAATTTAAATGTAAACGGACAATTATTGTATGTTTTCAAAGTAAAGAAACAACACGTTACTGTGTCAAAAATGAAATTTTAGTGAGAGGATGCGGTATAAACCTTTGAAGTCAAAAATGTGGTGATGAAAATTCACTTAAAAAAAGTAAAAATTGATAAGCAGAATTTATTACATGCGCACACAGCTGCGCATTTTAGTTGAAATAATGTCATGAGATATTTCAATGCTGCTATTCCTCGACTGCATATTATCTTATTTATCTCACCTCACAGCTTTTCAGATGAATGCTTAACTTGATTAATTTCTGTACTAAATATCTTGACAAAATTCTTTCACATTTTCTCCAGTCTTTAGGTTTCATTTTATTATTTTATTAAAATCATAAGTTGCTACACTTTCTGCTAACTGTGAACAGCTAAAAGCTAATAAAAAAAGTAGCAAATTGTATTAATGAATATTAGGCTCATTAAGATTTAATGTATCAATATTTGTTTTGCAAATTATTTATTATTTATGCTGTAGAAAAGATATCTATACAAAGTAAATTATGGAAGGCTTGCAGAGCTGATTGTTCGAACCAACCAACATGATTTTTTTTCTATCAAACTGAGATAAAAATATAGAAACGGTTTTAACTATCATTTAGTTTCATTCTAATTCAGTTTCTGTGTTCTTAAGGTATTTTAGTATAAGCATAACATAAATGATGTCGTTTGTGAAGTGCTCTAACAATAAAAATTTATAAAAAATATGTATTAAAATGATCATAAAAATAATCTTACTTGCATAGTTAGACTGCTTGAAATGCTGTAGGAATAATTATAGAACGCCTTATATTATAATGCATTTGTTTCGCTGGCCCATGCATTACATTGTTAGAAGTTATGCTTACTTTTGTTATCAGTAACTTATGAAATTAATAAAATAGTGCGAGAATTTAGTAAATGCTTTTTTCTTACTACATAAGAAGCATAACTAAACATAATTTTAGAATGTTTCGACTTTCAACTTCATTAAAAATTAGTTTTTGGCAAAAGTATGATTTTCGCTGATTTTGCTTAGCAAATAACTTTAGTACAATTATTTAAGCAGTTTAATAATTTATTTTGATTGTAACTGAAATTTCCATAAAAATAAAAGAAAAAAAATTTGTAAATCAGTGCTGAAAGGTTACTTTGTAAATTTAAATACAGTTGTTATGTTAAGAACAGAATGACGACGAAAAGTTGACGTATTAAATTTGCATAAATTCAGGTTTTGGAGCAGGCATGAGTTTGCCCGTTTCGGTCTTGTCAACTATTGATCAAGCTATTCCATCCAATCAACCACCACGATTTGATGATTTGACGGATGCTCATCATGATCCCCAATACTGGCGTACCAATTTTTCATCTTAAATTAGTCAATACTTGTACTAGGCTTTGAATGATTGAAACTGATGCTTTTCCCTTTTTAATTTACTTATTGTAGTGAAATATTTTCGAATAAAAAGACTTACTATTTTTTCGCAAAGTAAAAATTTGATTTTGAAAATTGCTCCTCTAAACTGTTTTCTTTTGGTAAGGAAATATATTGCTTAGAATTGTGGTAAAAATTCTCCTCAATTAATACTTTTATCATATGCAAAGAATTCAAAATTACTATGAGTTACGAGTAAAATACTGTTAGAATTGAAGTTTGTCTGAAAATAGTAGCTTTATTTATTGTTTCAAGCTTCAATAATTTACTCGTTCATTATTTTCACTGTTTTTATACCTGTGAACTACGTGATTCTTAATTTATCTGATTTTATTAAAATTGCCACGACGTGTTGTCGAATGTGAAATCATAACATAAGGCTACATTAGTAAAATATTCCAACTGGTAAGTAAGCTCTTCTTACCTTTCTGTTATTTACTTTTATTATATATATATGGAAAATAATGAGTGCAAATTAAAAAAAATTCTTTTTATAGGACACATTTTATTGAGTAATATTTAACATCTGAAAAAATGAAGTATTAAATTTTTGTAAAAAGTAACTGAATTGCGAAGATCAGAAAAAGTTATAATTGTTGAAATCAATTTTAAAAATATGAATTTTGCAAATGTATCAGAGTTCACATCAAAATTATCCTTTGTTTTTATAATTGAAATTTTTTTGTAAATTAAAACAAAAAAATTAAAATAGTTCTACTGATACACATGTGTTGTGCACGATTCTTCGTCGACTGCTGTCATTTCGATGAATTCATAATTAGTATTATTGTTTTTTCATACATTTCTCCTTTCTCATGTACTATATGGGTTACAAAAATATTATAGTCTCATATTATTTACTGTAATGCATGTTTGGATTTTTTCCAATTTGATGTGATTGTTTACGATACTCGAATATACTAAAAACTGTGTATGTCTATTACTGTAATAATGATTTCCTTTGAACAATATAAAAAATCTTTCTTGTTAGTGCTTGACTGAATAAATTTTTATTTAAAGGAATTGTTTTAAATGAAATTTTTCTTCTAAATACATCTCAATTCTACTCAATGTAAATTATTAAAAAAGCATATGGTTAAAAAGTTTAAGAAGCAATCGAAAATAGCATTTTATTGCACTATTTTCGTGTTAAAATTATTTGAAACTTACAAATTTTAGAGTATTTCAAAAAACCTTCAATTAATAGCAAAAGATACGTGTGCGTCTAGAACTAATTAGTTAGCTGAAAAGCTTGTGAAGAGATGCAATTTTTGAAAATTGCTTGAGAGCAAATTGTAATAATGCTAAATTAAAAACAGTTTTTCGATGGTTTTCATTACTTATAGCACGCAATAAATTTTTGTAAAAAATTATTTTGCATATTAAATAGTAACTGAAATTTTTTTAAAAATACATCAGATACATCCAGCATTTCAATAACATAACAAATTACATCTCAGTACGACTTCGTTTCACTAAACTCTGAATTAATTACTGCTAAGCAATCAAAAATTGCTTTTTTGTTGAAATACACAATTTAAAAAAATTTCATTCAAACTTTTAGATACAAATTCATATAAAATCTATTATTTATGTTTAAGATATGTAAGAATCACTTTTGCGCAAAAGTGACAAGTCAGACTGGAGACATAATGCGTATTTTTATTAATTCATTGAACGCTTTATCAAGCAAATTTTTGGTTTTTTAATCAATCATTTGATAGCAGAATCCTCATGACTAGTTGTATTAGAATTTTATTAGTAACATTATCTGATTCTCAAGTGCGAAATTTCAGACAATCATACCAATTAATTTTCGAATACGAACTTGTTGAAAATTTATATTATATTCAGAAGTCTAAGAAAGATAACTGATTATTTATTTTCGTAAAATGTGAAATGATAGAGAGAAGTATTGAATATGAGAATTTTATGGATGAAAACAGAAATTGTGAGATCTACAAAGTACGTCATCAAAACAGTATGAATTTTAAAGTACTGATCGGAGAGAAGCATTTTGAAAGTCTGATCAGTAGGCTGCATAGAACAGATATCATGATCTGTCTACAAAATTTGACATTTTGACTTCTCTGCCCATGGGTTATATCGTTTGTCGACTGGATTTACTAATGGGTCGTTCTCTTGCTGTCCTTCGATGTATCGCTTCATTCTGAAATCACTCATGCTTATATTATATTGAATGATGAAAAAATCGTTACAGCTTAAGAAATAATTAATAATTTCAAATGGAAGTATATTTTCCATTCTTTGCATTCAATAACTGAAATTCTGCACAAAGTATATAAAAATGATTTTTAAGCTAGATTTTCTGGCTGCAATTAGTTAATATCTTATATATCAATGATCTGTTCATCAAAACTGATTCCTTCTAAATAATTGAAGAATTATTTACTGTATGCTAAGTTTCTCAGTATTCAATTTTAATATGAATGTATGCAAATTATCTGACTGCTTCACTTTTAGCTTTCGAAACAAAATAAGACTGCACTAACTGCACATAAGTCATTTGTCAAACTAAAGCGTAAATTTTATTTTCCTTAATTCAATCTGGTGTAAAATTATCAATAGAGTTAATTTAAAATTTACTGACACAAAAAATGAATGCATAATGAAGAATTTGCAGACTTACATGAATTGACAGAAATCAGATCTAGACTTTCATAAGTTAGACTTGAAAATGAAAAATTCAAAACAAACTCGTTGGCAGACTGTGATACTGGTATTCTTTGAATATTTAACTGGTGTCGCAAACTTTCTACACTTCGTTGAATATCACCTTTGTCCATTTCGCAGAAAAAATGTATCAATTATTATTTAATAGTTTCCTGAAAAAAAGCTAAAGCATTGAACTGTATAAAGTATGCTAACCCATAATTTCCAAACGACCGCATCATACATAAATGAAGAACTTCAAAATCGATCTCTAAAATTTCAAAATTAAATCTCTAAAATTTTTGCTGCCTTCAAAGTTTTCTACACTTCTCGATTTAGCTTTTCAATTATCTCGAGGAAATTCCAAAATATTACGTTTGGGTCAGGTTACTGGACTGTAATGTTTCTAAATACATCAAAAACACCATTGAATTTCAAAAATATTTGAATAAATATAGCTAAAATCCAGTTTTACAAAGTAAAATTTGAAAAAATGAATAATCAGTGAAAGTGAAGCATATTTATGAGCATATTTATTACAAATTGATACAACTTGCTTTCAAAACATTTTGTCTTGAGTTCTAACACATATAGAACTAAAACTTATGTGTAAAAAGGTACAGGAACTTTTGCAAAATTGCTTGGGAACTAGATCTAAAAATCTTATCAAGAATTTGTGTAGTCAGTCTAGATATTTACTTTTTTTTAAATATCATACTCCTTAAAGTATCTTTAAAATTTTAAAAATGCCATTTTTAGCGGATTTAATAACTGCATACATGAAATATTATAGTCAAACTATTAGGGAATAATTTGAACTTATAAATCCAATGTTCTGACAAAATTTTGACGCAGATAAACAAACGAATTCATATTCTGCATTGCTCTGATGATAAAACTAAAGAGAGCATCGAAGCAATGCAGAATATGAATTTGCTCACTTATGTGAAGAAAACTTTTAATGCAGTTTTGCTGTTTGTTTTACGGAAAGAATCTAAAGTGCTTTTGCTGGCTATATCATGAGATCTAAACTTGCACAAATATAAGAAGTTAAAAAAGTACCTTATGAATTTCGTAAATGATGAAGTTGGAAAATATTTTCATGCAACAAGAATTCTGAATATAATTTGTTCACCAGTGTTATGTCAATATAAGAGTTAATAGTTTCAATTGAGTACCATTTTGCTTATCTTTGCTGCTATTTGATAGCTTTAGCTTTAGCTACAAATCTTCAATTCAGCAACTTCTATTGAAATTAATTATTTGCCAAAAACGGAAACAGTATTGCTACAGCATTGCTAATGCAAAACGACAATAGTTTCATAATTAAAATTTTATTTTATTTTCAATTTTTGCTCTTTATTGTAAAATACTAATATGTAAACTATTCAAATCTATTTCAGACTGACTGATACCTTTAAAATACTCAAATAGTGAACAAATTAATATAAAAATGATTAAGAAAATGGTAATTATATTTATTTTTTTGAATTCAGTAGTACAAAGTTGAAAAAGTTTTTCAATACTAAAAAATTGTTTTGTAATAGAATGATATACTTGTTTGTTAGGTTTTATCTGTGTTAATATGAACAAGGGCATATGAAGTAATCGCAGGATTAAATTAGCATACTTTGTTATAATTATGAACGATTTGAGTAGTCCTTGAACAAATTTACTTTCACATAACATGCGTACTAAGTTATTGAAGAAAGAAAGTATGAAAGAATCAGCGCCATTTTTGAGCAATATCTACAGGATAAAAAAGAAATATTTTTGCAAAGTTTATCATTTGTGCTTCTGAATTAACTGATTCTGATTACTAATCTGACATTTTGTACTGAAATCCATGAGAGCAGAACTCAAAATAGAATGCAGTTGTCAGTAAGATAGATTACATAATAAAAGTAGTAAGTAATACTTACTAGTTTAACTTGCAGTATACTGTTTAAAGTACATGCATAAAGAAAATTGCCAAATTAAGAAAATGCCAAAAAATAGTAAAAAGATGCTCGCAGTCGTGAGTATGCGTAACTATTTGTATGAATAGATGGATGAATAGAAAAGTTTTTTTCGCTTTTTAATCTTTTTTTTGAAAAAATAAATGAGATGCAGCTGCAAAAATAGTTAAGAAGAAAATATGGATCGACGAGAATTGATGGATGGATAGATGAATGATTGAATGATTGAATAATTGAATGAATGAATGAATGAATAAATAAATAAATGAAAGGAATGACAGATAGATAGACAGATAGATAAATAAATAGTTAGATAGATGGATGGATGCGTGGATGGATGTATGGATGTATGGATGGATAGATGGATAGATGGATGAATGGATAGATGGATGAATGGATAGATGGATGAATGCGTGGATGGATAAATGAATGAATGGATGGATACGTAGATGGCGTGGAAGGATGCGTAGATGGATGGATGAATGCGTGGATGGATGAATGGATGAATAGGTTAGTTTTGAGCCTTAGAGAAGATGACTTGACCAAGAAAGGCAAAAGATTAGTAAATAGTAGTAGCAATCTGTGATTCAAGTTGTCTTCTTACCCTCACTCCTTTCTACTTGCTAACTTATTGTCCAACAAGTTAAAGCGATGGCTCATCTATCAGTTCAGACTATAAACTCTAAAGAGTCTAATATTTGTTATCTTGAGACTCAAATCTTCCAATTGCTCTATCAATCCTACTCACTTCGTCATTCACTCGTTAACTCATTCATTCTTTCCTTTATTCATCTATCTATCTATCTATCTATCTATCTATTCATATGTAACATTCATTTTGTGATCATTTTGTCAAGCTATGTAATTCGCCTTCATTTATAAACAATATGTTGTCCAAATTTCATCAGTTTATTGGTCTAATATTTTATTAGTTAACATCTAATTATTCAATCAGCCTATCACTAAATTAATGATAATATAGAATAATAATAGCCGTGATATGAATGCGAATTATTCATCTTGTCTTGTAGTATATTTACTTGTTGAAGCAAAAAATGTACTAAGCAAACCACAAATTAGTTTACCTATTATCTTTACCAGTTTTTATCAAATTTGTTGATTTAATTTTTCTTGTAGAAAGCAAATATTGCGTTTCTTTTGTAACGCATAAATTCAGCAGTGAAAATGGATGAAACTCAGAAAACTGTAAAAAACAAGTTTGAAATTAATTTTTGTAACAACACAACACTGCTTTCTCTAAGGTATTCAAATCAAAAACTATTATTAACATTCGTTTTAGGAATATATGACTGCTTGAAAGACTCAATATTTACGTGAATTACATTGAAGTACAACAATTAAATAAATTTAACTTTTGATTTAAATCACGTATTAAAAACTTTCAGCTATGTAACTACCACAGGTAAAAGCCCATGCAATTGCAGAAAAAAATAGTAATTACTATGAAAAATCACTAGTTTACTTACGTTTAAAAAGATTTTACAAGCCTCATTCGCATAATAAATTTGTTTGCATCATGCAAAATACCAAATCATTTGCATCAATATTAATATTAGAAATATCTAGCGAAGGGAAAGAAGTCTTTTGAAAAGAGTTATTGCAGAATTTATGAAGTAATTGATAAAACTCCAGTTATTGCCTAGCAAATATTTGTCAGATAGTATTTTGAGTGCTATCTAAAGATTGAGGTCACAATTTCTTTTAATGACACTGTTATTAACTCTAATCATTAGAATAAATCACATTTAAACTACAAGGAATCAGTGCTTGCATATATAATGTAGACTTAAAATAAAGTCCATAGTTATGAATAAATTTTTATATACTCATCAAAGCATATTATGTGTATAATAAAAATGTTGCATATATTTCGCTGCAAAAATGCATCGTAATAAAATGAAAGTAAGATTTCTGCAGTAAATTTAGAAAACTTAGGTGAGTAAATAAGCTTAGAAAAGAATAAAAAATAGAATTATTTTAAAATTTGAAGGCTATCTAAACAGAGATAGATATCCTCTTAATTGAACGGTATAAACAATCGAAATAGACAATGGCCCAACACAGCTTTTCATATCATCGCTGTAATTAAAAACTTAAAGTGATTTAAATTGATGGCGAAAAATCTAAAAACGAAATATGTGCATGGTGACAAATTAAGTGTGACAGACAGAAATGGAAGTAGCAAAATAACAATTCGATCAAATAAGTAAATAAAATTATAAAGTGGTGAAAGAATTTGAATTTAGTTTTTTTACAGCCTGATACTTTATAAAAACTTATATATAAGTTTATATATATATATAAATGATAAAATGTTTGTTACTGATGCGGTAGAAGCATGATATACTGATAATAGCAGCATGAAAGAAGCGGTAAAATATAAATCAAGACTGTATTTCTTCCGTGTTCTTGCATTTAATAACATTTCGTTGTTTCCATGAATGAGAGAAATGACATTAAATTATATGATCATTTTTGGAAGTTATTTTCAAAATTTTTTCCAAACAATTCGTTCAGAAAGATATAACGAATTTTTAATGTAAATCTATTTTTATCCCAGCAATTACTAATCATTTGCATTTTATGCAAATACGGCGGGTTAGATTCACATGATTAGCATTTTTCATTATCAAGTAAATACTGCTAAAAAAATTGCATCTACAAATTTACAAAAATGGAATTTATAGACTGACTCAAGTTTTTTGATCTTTTAAAAAAAATGCTTGCATAGAAATCCTTGAGATCTGTGAAATCAATTAGGACATGTCAATGGTTTTGAATAACTTCTTTTTCACATAGAGATGTTGAAAGTAGTGTTTTGTTAGATTATAATTAAATATTGGTTTTCCAGCATTTGAATGAATGCAAAGTATTATATTGAAATTAAATTTTCTAACCAAAAATGCTTCTTTTTGATTGCATTAGCATTTCAATTTTCACATTCATTGATATGGAACATTTACAGATCTCAAGGAACATTCGAATATCAAGTTTACAATATTTTTACAGCTAATTCTAATTTCCGTAGATGCTTGCTAAGAAAGCAGACCAGATTTGTTGTTCAATGATGCAAACAAGCTAAGAAATATTAATAACAAAGCACTGCGTTTCTTTCTACCATTTTTCAATATGAAATTTGGTTGATGCATTATTCT